GGATTGCATCAGACGGGGAAACCAGAACCTGAGCATATTGTTTTTTGAAACATAAAACCATACGTCATGCAACGGAGGGTGAGCTATGCTGGTGTAGCCTCTCTACTAGAGTAATATCACGGCTTTCTTGCTTCTAACATCTTCCAACTGTGGGCTCTCGATTGCAATCCTCTAGCACTAGGGATCAGCCATAATGGTTCAAGCTTAGAAGAATAAGCATCACACACGGGGAAATTAGATACTTGTGTAACCCAACCTTATCTCTTATCTAGCCGCACGTGAACCTTCGTGCTTGCTCCGTTCAAGGTCCTTCAATCCAAAGCCGTTCGTTTTGACCCCTACAGTGAACTCTAAAGCCCGAAACTCTATGTTTACACCGGAATCCCAAACATGCTATAGGTTGCTGCGCATCTCAGCCTCTAAGTGTCCTGATATTCGACCCCAAGCCCGAGTCCAACTGTTGCGGCGAAATCATACACCCCTCTAAGAGCCTTCTGGACCCCGCTTTAGGAGCTCTATTGGTAATTGCCAAACCCCCCCGAATCCCTATAGATTATACTGAGCCTCTCAATGCATCCAAGGCGAGGCACCACCGTCGCGTCAGCCGCTTTGGCAAGGCGCCGCTTGATTGCATTTTCGAACCTGCAAGAGTTCGGCATCATTTAGGGTACTCTTTCTAGGACAGGTGTTTAAGGGGGCCTTTGTATGGCTGCATAAGGGTTCAGGGATTGAGGGCACCAAGGCAGGCTTGGGCTTTTGGAGTTTGGGGTTTTAGGCCCCTCCCACCTGGAGGTGCGCGGAACGTCATCGCGCATAGCCTCGTAGTCTTTCAGGGACCAGTCCTCACGCGAAGGCACGAAACGGTCTGCGCAATGCAAGCATCTTTCCGACCCTATCGTGATCACGCATGCAAGGCGACGGTAAGGACTACACACTTTCGAGGCTTCATGTGCGTTTGGGTTGAGTGAAAGGGCCCCCTGGAGTGAGGCTCTTGGCAAGGCTCGGATCGTTCCAGCTGATCGTCTGAGTGGTGGGATACTCACCTAGTTGTGAAGCCTCCTACTGTAGGGTGCACTCGGGAAGATCGACATAGAGTATGATATCCTAAACAACACAAATGGCAGTCTGCTGGTTGAGAACACCTGTGTCAACGCTGGGGCGGCCATCCTCACTGTCACAACAACAACAACATCAATTCCGCCAAGGTCTGGACTGTATTCATTACCTCTCCGGAAAATGACATAGACATTAACGACAATGACGATGACCCTTATACCCCTTCACACCTGGGTTTGATGAATGCCAGCACACCCCCACTGAACTTCACCAGTAAACCCTCCCTTGACACGAAAGATCCAAACTTCTTGCAATTTTCCAAAGGGTCCTCCAGGCCGCTCTCTGCAATGGTCTGATCCTGGCAAGGGGCATTTGCCCCAAGTCTTGGAGACTGTCGGGGGTTTAGGGTCTAGGCTTTATGGGCTTTCAGGTCTAGGGCCCGAAGGTGTCGACGGGTTTTTTAGGTACCTTAGAGCATGCATCATAAGTATACAAACGTATTGTGTAATCGCACATTGTTCTTCTTGCGGTCCCCCCTCCTATATCTGGAGTTGAACGCCTGTGTTGGCTGGAATCATGTCAAAGGGCCGGGCTGAAACAGCTGAGCAATTGGATCCTGATCAGGCCACCCGAAAACAGACCCTCACTTTGGCCCTCAAGCCCTTAGTAGCCTTGGATACGAAGCTCTAGAAGGCTCAACAAGATCCGGTTGAAACCTCACACGACGGCCATGCAACATAGGCGCCGTCATCATTTTTGCTGATTACTGACCTTTACGAACCCCCTTAAGAAAAACCTTACAAGGGAGACTCTTACAAGTCTTCCGATGTGCACACTACAATAAAATTGCGGCATATTATAGTACGAACTGCATTAAGGAACCCTTAGAGAGGATTCCATGACCAATCTCGACCCTACATACTATCCCAAAGAGAATCCTTCATGGAAGCCTTGAGCCAACCCATACCATATATATACATATATGTTTTTCATATCTATACGTATCATTATTACTACTATTATTAGTATTATTCCAAACCGACTTTCTCTGGCTGCAGCCAGGGGTTCGAAGACCAAAGGCTGTCGCGCCAGGGCGGCCCCTGGCGCAAGCAGGCCGCCGGCCACACCTCGTGACTGTAGTACATTGTAGTGCTCCTTTTTGGGCATATAGGTCCGAACAGGGTTTCGAGATGTTTGGCTTGGTGTTTTGCAAAAAATCAGCCGATTCGGGGCTTCCACACTGCTCCTGCGCGAGACACGAAGGGCTTCACGACAACTGATGGCAATCTTCGGGTGCAGGTGCGCCTTCTGGTTTCTAAAGGGTTCAGGGCTTGGAAGATCCTAAGGTTGGCCTCGTACCTCCTTCATGGGACCTGTAACGAGCACTAAGGGCTGCACCCAGCGTCGCAGCACGACGGCCTGCGATTGGCTTTCTCGATGGTGGGGCTTGACTTTGTTTAGATCTGTCTTGAGTATTATAACTACTTAGACTGTAATTAGGAGTCGGTGCTCAGTCGTGAATACGGTCAAGGGCTCGGAGCTTTGACAGTGTTTGTGAGTTCTATCTCTGTCTCTCTCAATTGCTTTCCTTCACGGGGCCTGAGAGGGGTTGAGCCCCAGTGGGTCTCTCTCTCACTCTCTATGGGGCAACCACATGTTCGCGAATGTGGGGCAGGGATGTAGCTCTGCTGTGGAATGTTGCAATGTCTGCGCCTGAATCGCTCCACTAGGCCTGTGCTACGTGCAAGGCCGTATCGCCAAGGGCATGATGACTTTAAACGCCATTTTCGGCAGTCAGGCAGTGGAGGTAGTAGTGGTCCTGATATATAGAAAGGGCATGTTCCGCAACATTGAACAATCCAATCAAAGGTGCTGCCTCCTCGCGCTTCGGAAAGACACATTAGCAGTTTCGGGCTCCAGGTTGGGGTACTGAGCTTGCCATTCTGAACAGGACATGGCTGCCCTGAAGCCCTCGGAACCCATGCCATGCCTGGAGAAGTAGAAGTATAGGCGGGCGACGCCGCCTCCGCGCAAGTGCAAGAGCGCTTTCTTCTGTCCGCGAAAGGCGAGTTGAAGGCTTAGGCTTTCGGGGCGCCTAGTTACTTTGCCAGGTGGAGGTCCAGTGGCCTTTGTACCCCATAGCTTACAGTCTGCAAGGTGTTGCCTCCGGTATGGTGTGCGATGTTAGGTTTTCAGGAATCAGACTGCTGAGTGTCTACGGCCCCATTGGGGTTGGCGGTTTGGGGGAAGCTACTGGGACATTTTGGAATCGTTCCGAAGGCTCCTTTGCAGTTTTGTCTAATCCAAGTCCAAGCTTTGACAAACTCACTCACTCACTCACTCACTCACTCACTCACTCACTCACTCACCCAGATACGATCTGCGTGCATCATGCGTCATACTGGACATTGCCATCGTCAAAGCAGGACTCGGGATAGTGCAGTAGTTGCGCAATAGCGCAAGAAGTAATACTAACCTGGTAACCTGCTAGTAATTAGTTGTCGCGGAGATGGCGCAAGACCAGAACAGTTAGCAATCCAAAACTGACCTCGGGATGAAAGGCACAAGTACAAGCGTACAAATTATCCTCCTTGGCACGCAAATCATACTTGCTACTATCCCCGTCATTGTCACCATCATCATCATCACCAGCACGACCATCATCCTTCTGACCACACCCTCGCCATCAAGCAGAGGCATAGTCAACACCACCCGCACCACCAGCACTAGCACCTCCTCCTCGTCATCATGATGAAAGTCGTCCCTCAACATTTTTCGACACCACCTATGCTCTTTGTCATAGGTTCCTCGCCGTCATCTTTCGCGACCTTCCCGCTACTATTTGTTCAGCAACAGAGGCAAACGAATCCTAGGGTCCTAGACTTAGACCCTGTCCGGCTTCCAACCTGGCCTTAATCCACAAAGCTGCCACACTGAGCAGCGCTACAAACTCCGGCACGTGCCGGATGTTTGGATGGCCGCGGCGGAGTGATGTTGGTGCCATGGCTGATATAGGTCACAGATATTAGGGGCACTACGTCTGTGACGGACTTTAAGACTGACTTCATGCTACAATCACAAGTCGAAGGGCTACACAGATCTAAGAGACCTCCGGGCTTTTGCTCTCGCTGCTAGGGCTGGGTTCTGGGCTTTGCTATGGGGCACATACTTTCATATTGATGTCTTGAAGGACTTCAGCTGTTTGATAGCCGGGGTGGGTCACATAGGGGCTGGGGGGGCGGGGTGAAAGGCTGCAGAGCATGACCCATCGGACGAAAACATCTCTGCACAGGAGGCCATGCCCAAGGAAGACTGTGTTCAGCCTCGAGCTTTTCGGAACTATCTTTAGTGTGCTAGATGGGGGTTTCCGAAAATGGGGGACCCTAATATAGTACCCTGAATAGTAGGACCCTTATTATAAGGACCCCAAAATAAGGTACCCTATTTTTTGGAAACCCCCAGATGTCTTAGGAGTATTCTCGCTCGCTTGGAGCCAATTCGCACCACCGCAAAACCCAAATTTGCCAAACAAATCCCAGGCCGCCCTTTGGCCAAATGAAAACCTCTGCTTTAGGCCTGATAACTCCACCAACACGAGCCAGCAACAACATATACATGCACATGTACGAAGGCAACATCCCTCTGGTTAAGCCTCATATCTTTGTGGCTTGGGGTGGCCCTCAAGCCGGAAACTCTGATATGAAAACCCTAAGAGCATGCCCTACACTACCCCGCCCATACACCCTGAACCGCCTGTCTGGGTCTTTCTTAATTTTTCTCAATTCCCCAGAGACGGCCAAAACGTGGAATGCCCCTAATGGGACAAAAACGCACGAAGGAATAGACATACTTCCTCTCATGGCTCCTAAAGTACGTACGCATTTTTAGTGTACTACACACCTTCGAAGTTTTCAGGCCCCGAAAGTACCCAGCTCCGAAACGGCCTCGCCGTAGCCGCCCAGAAGTGAACCTCCGAGACGCAGAACGCCACCAGCCTGTTGCTCATGGGCTTTCGACACTTCGACTCACTCGCGCAAGGCCGAGCTTAGGGTTAAAATTTGCAAGGGCTTAAGGCTTGCAATGCAACGGTTTAGGGCTTGTTTTTGGGGTTTCGGGGTTGAGTCTAGTCCACAGTTTCCTGTGCCGGTGAGGCATTCCGCAAAGGTTCTAGCGGTGATCCCTTGAAGTTGAGGGCTGTGGCTGACTCTATACTAGGTTTAGAAGTCGAAATGACTGTCGGATTTATTGCCTCCCACTTCGCCAGGACGAGCCGGCGGTGGTTGTACTATTTAGAGCTTGCAGGTTTACATGTTATGCTGAAGATACGAAACGCCTCCCTGCTTCCAAGTCTGAGCACAAAAAAATCGCACTCAGAAGCTGGAAACCACCTCGAATATGTCCAGCACCTCGGGTTTTTCCTACTTTTCCGCCGATTAGCTGCAGATTAGCTGAGGACCCTTTTACCGGGATTGTTGCAAGTTCTCATGATGCAACTACGTTGGTAACAGAAGACATACCTATTGAGGGACACATGCACCCACGAGGGTGGAGACAAGCATCATCGAGTTTGAGGCTACAAGAAAAGAAGGCACGTCATCAAACAAAAAAAGGGCATGCCACAAGCTACACCTGCAACAATGGTTCTTTTCAGATACATGCATGTGCCTGGAAGCACTTCGGCCTTCAAGCTGCGCATCACCTCTTTCGTCTCAGGCGGCGAATCCCCGACTATGACCCCCAGAACTCCAAAGGTCTGAACACCGCAGACCAGCACTAAGCTGAGTAGAGGACACCAAGTATGCGACCAGGACCAGGGCAGATTCTCCTCAGGGTTGCCAATCATGGTGCAGCATTCTTTGCAACCTAGATGACGAATTCTTATACCCAGAAGCGCACGAAACATCAAAAGGTGGGTGCCGGATGGCGGCGGGGTAGCCAATATAAATATAAATACATATATATAAATAAATAAATATATATATATATATATATATTATATATATACATACACACTTATTTATCTATTTATTCATTTATTTACTTATTTACTTGATTATATTTATGCAAAAAACATAGGTTTATGTGTATGTATGTCTGTATGCATGCATGTAGGTATATTCATGCATACATGCACGTGTATGTGTATGTGTATGTGTATGTGTATGTGTATGTATATGTAAATGTATATGCATATATGAATATATATATATATATATGTATGTATGTATGTATGTATGTATGTATGTATATATATATAGAGATGTATGTATATATGCGTACATATATATATATATATTATATTATATGATAAACCTGGAGTCTAGCAGGCGAGCTTGGATGCTCGGGCCACATGACATGGCAAAATACCTCGAAAAGGGTAGCCAAGGTGATCCTTTCAACTTTCAACAACCATGTTCTGCTTAGACGTCCCGGGTACATCAATGCAAGCCATGCCCGACAAACGTCTGCAACCTCACGCCTCATGTGTTATGACTTCGACGTTGAAATAGAGTTCCCCCTAAGCACCGCGCTTTATCTCGTCGGCAGGGGCAGCCACGAGGATCTTCCTTGTGGAGACTTGAAAGGATTGAGGGAAGCTCTTTTTCCCAAGGCTTTGCACTGTCACTTCGGCACAAGGCAGGAATGCATCACGACGACAACTCTGCAGTAACTGCAGAAACACCGTGTCATCCGACGCTCCTTGCTGACACTCACCCATCTAACAGACGAAACATCAAACCGTTCAGACCGGCTAAGCTTCACTTCCAGGTCCTTTTTCACAAGATCACTGAAAAGCAGTACTCTTTCACTCGACATCATCCGGCCTATCACGCCCACACCAAGCCCGGAGAAGCAACCACCAATCGAAATTCAAATCAATCTTGAGGGTTTGGGGTTTCCGGATCTGCAGAGTCTTCCTGATCCTTGCATTTAGAATCCCTGCAGGCCATCCAGTCCAAAGCCATCAGGCCCCGAAGCTACACCTACTTGTCTGGGGTTGATGGCTACGGACTCAAGGTTTAGCACTTCGCGTGTTTGGGCTTTTTGAGGTCTGGTGCGCAGTGCAAGAAGCGCATCGAGTCTTAGGATCCCAAGGTCCAACAAGGCCAAGCCACTGAGCTGCATGCGCTGCTACAACCTGGCAGCAGAAGCACGGTGCATCTGGGAAAAAGTGCCGTTAAACTGCGAAAAGCAAGATGCAATCTCTGCGATCGAAGTGCAGCCGAGCAGGCTAGCTTTCCGTTTGTCTGAGTCCAAGTGAAATTATACTTGCTAGAATCAGAATTGGTTTGGGTGCATACTCTAGGCCTACTTCTACAAGGGATCTCAATGAATCCTAGCTGCTTTCCTCGAAATGAAGTATTCCCAGATTTCCCAAAACTCTGCAGGAATTCGTTTACCTGCTACCAAAGCCCAAAATTCAAAGCCTCAAGCCCTGAAGCCCTACACCTGAACACCTGAAGCCCCACAGCTCTAAGCCCAAAAACCAAACCCCACCCAAACCTGAACACCTCAAATGGCCCTCGGTCGCCAGCAAGGTGCACTAAAGTAGCTCCCAACAAGTTCTAAAGGACTTTTGACACGGCTTAGGGGCTTAGGATTCAGGGTTTAGGGTTTAGGATTCCATGCAGGGTTCTGAATAGATGTGTGAGATAAGATCGTCATCGGCTTCTGCAGCAAAGCTTGATACAGGCGCTTGCATCCTTGGACTGGGGATCTAGGATTCCAGGGCTCTTGCACAAGTGCTACGTAGGAAACCCTTAGGGGAATACAAGAGAGTGAAGGGTATGGAGTCCAGGGTATTGAGGTCTACCTTGACCAGAAACGAAGAAACTGCGCCAGTCAAGAGAACAATCTGCAAGATCGGGACCTGCAAACATCAGAACCCTATACTATACCCCCCCACACCCCCTTTAAACTCTGTACAGTCATACCGGCTCAGACCATATCACGAACCCTGCAGCGCCCGAGGCTTGAACCCGCTCACGCAGGGACCGTCTAGTCGGAACGTGCGAGAACCTCGTGCTCAACTCCAAAACAAGCCACGGATCTTCTAATGTTCGCCACAGGCAGCCGAAGAGTTTGGGACGCTAAGCCTGAAGCGTTTTGACCGTGCTGGCACTGCGGACAGGAGCCATGGTGATGAGGGCACGGACTTGGGTGCTCAAGGTCTGTCTCAGATTTTCGGCATCAGGCTTGGTAGAGCCTGAGAGGTGCAAGTCCTACTCTCTAGCACGCGCGAAGACCGGGGAGAACATCACAGGTGTTGAGAAGTAACGGCTGTCACGGTAGAGAGAGTCTCGAAGTACAGCATGGTGCAGCGAGATTTGTGGTGGATCTCAGCGAGAAGCAAGCACGTGAAGCTATCAGTAGCTAGCAAGTGTACTCTCCCTAGAAGGCGGGAATCCAAACAGATCCTCAGAAACTACGACCAACAGCAACCCAAAGTCCTGAACCCTCTCCTCCCCCGTAAGATAAAGACTATGAACCCGTCCGAAGTCCTAACCCATTCGTCAACCCGAAACCCTAAATGCTGAACCCTGTATACCCCCCTATAAACACGAAACCCTCGAACCAAACCTACATGCCAAAGTCATCCTCCGTCATCACGCAAACGCTAAACCACGGGCAAGATGCCAGGGTTCATCGCCAAGCACCTGAGGTAAGCATTCGATCATTAGCTCTGGGGGAGGACCTTCCCAGAAAAGCGAAATTTGTGGTGTTGGTTGTTGTTTCCGCCTTGCTGACGAAGTGATGGGTTTAGGGTTCCGGGGTGTAGGGCTTAGGCTTAGGCCTTGTGCCCAAATTGAGGAGGGGATGCTGATGCTCGGGGCTGTCCTCTACTAATGCTCGGCGACGGCTCCGTGGCGGTGGGACTTGGGAGGACAGCGGCGTTGATGAGTCGGAGTTTAAGGTTTTAAGGTTTTCGGACTTCTTACAAGCCTTCCAACGGGGACTTCCATACAGATTCTGTAGGTGAATGGGGGTGTTTTTTGCCCTGCAGTGTGGACTGGCACGGGTCTTCTGCGCGATTAGCGGGAAGCAAGGAAGAACGCACAACAGGGTCTTTTCTCCCTCTCGCATGGCTGAGATGAATGCTCACAAGCGACGCTTCTACTTCAACAGCTCTTGGAATGTTGGGTTTAGGGTGTCTCGCAGAACCACGTGGATGTTCTCTGATCTTCATCCCACTTGCTTACATCCAAACATCCTACATGTACGACAGGGGGCCTGTATCATCGGAAACTAGGGTTCTTTTGGTAGGCACAGTGTACGAGCTATTTTGGGGGGAGTATACGACTTCCATAAATGGGGGTTTCCGAAAATAGGGGGCCCTAATATAGTACCCTAAATAATAGGATCCTTAGTATAAGGACCCCTAAATAAGGTAGCCCTTATTTTCGGAAACTCCCAAATATTCCATAAATATTTACCCTAACCCTCCAGGTACCTACTATATAGGGCCCTAGGGGCTCTAGTACCCTCTATAGTAGGTACCTGGAGGGATAGGGTTTAAGGCTTCAAAAGTACCCGAAAACGCGCCTCGATGCCGGGCATTTTCTCTGGAAGGCTGTCAGGCCTCGGCTCTGAACACTTCTGCTCACAGGAACTATAGTACAACCTCATATATTATTTCACGCTAACATAGTGAAAAGATAAATGTGTGTATATATATATATATAGACATGCTCATATATATATATATATACGTATGTATATTAAATACACACACACACACTACATACTGTATGCTATATTGTTGTGCATTCTAAACCCATAACCCTATGAACAAAATAGCACCCCGGCAACGGAAATCTCTACCTCCAGGATCTAGGGCTTTTCGAATGTCCCTTCGAGATCTAAGGTGTGGGGCTTTCGGTTTAGGGTTTAAGGGTGTGTAGGGTTTGGGGCTTTGGGTTCAGAGCAAAGTCCGCTGCTTTGACGAAGGGATAAGAACTTTCGCAGCCTAAATTCATCTACTGTCCCCTGAGTCTCTAGAAACCCAGCAAAAAAACACAAGCGCCGATGGAGCTGTGGGTCACGATCTGTGGAACAAGCGACAATGTCAGGGCTGGGAACGCCAGGCCTCGCCCCAAACCCACTCTAAGCCCCGTATAGACCCAGAATAAGAATGCTGTCCTTTTTGTCGCCCCTAGATGAGTGATTCTAGTAAGGCATTCCGAAGGCACAATGCCACACACAACAGTAGAAAGCCAAATCAGATCACACAGCCCCGGGGCACACCACAACCTCCGAAAGTGCGCCACGAAGCCAACACTAAAGCTCCTAAATCCTTCAAACCACGAGTGGCTTCCATGCAAAATGCTTCTCGGATCTCACGAAACACTTCCGTTAAAGCCATGCAAGCCAAGAGAAGCACCAAAAAGACTTAGGCAGCTCACGGCACTGTAATTTCAACAGTTTTCCTCAATCCTCATCAAGCAGCAAACAAGCTCCTCAACCCTTCATCAAACGCCACAATGAGCTCCTCGACCCTTATAGTCTTTACCCACACAAGCTGCCCTCAACCCTCATGAAAAGAACCATCAAGCCTTATGAAACCCAAGAAGAGCCGAAGCCCCAAGCCCGAAACGCCAAATCCCAAAGCCCCTACACCGTAAAAAGCCTCATAAGCCCTCTAGGCCCTGTAAGCCTCTCAGCCTTAAAAAGGCACTACGAGGCCTCTAAGGGGCCTAAATTTCCCAGAAGAGCCGGGCAGCTCATGGTCGGGAGGTGCCGGGGGCGGCGGAGGAACTCCCTGGCACAAGGAGACTCTGGCTCCTTCTTGAGTTTTACGGTTTGGGGGAAACAGGGTTTAGGGTTTAGGAATCTTGAGTTTACGGTTTAGGGAAAATAGGGGAAATCGGGGGGAGGGAGGAGGGTTTACTCAGGCTTCTCGGGGTTTAAAGGCTCAGGGGCCCTACAGCGCTCTTGCTCCGGTTTCGGATTGCAGTCGCCGTCGCGGGGAGATATCCAAGGGCTTCGAGATTGCATGGACTTGGGTGGAGCTGTTAGAAGTACATATTGAGTAGTTTACACGCACCTTAGACCTGCCTTTTGGTTGCGGGGCCTTCTTGGTATGGCTCGGGGCGATGTGCGCGCTGGAGGCCGAGACTTCTAAGGAAACCTTACGTACGGTTGAGGCAACCCGTGGGGGGTTTTTGCTTTGCCTGAGGCCACTGACAGGTTTCTTAGGTCTTCTTGGTTTGGGGGGGTTTTGGGGGACCCAAACGGCAGACCCGTAGGCCAACGGAGCCCAACCCCCCTGACGGGTTGCTGGGGATGCAGGAGGCTAGCAGATCCGGCAAAGTATGTACATCGGTTCACGTAACAGACTGTAGGTTCGAGGCAGGCAGGAGTGACTTTAGGGTCTGCGGTGTTTCGCACAAGCGAGGTGTTTCGACTCTCGCACTCCCATCGTGTTTGAGTTTAGACGACCTTCGGCACAAAACTCACCCGAAGCCCACCGCCAAGCCAAAAAACAACAGCCCAGAGCGTCTTGACCAGCTAGCTGAACAGCTGGCTGAGCACTACCTGATCCTAACCAATAAATGGCCAGTTCCAAATCAAGGTCAACTGACAAGCCCACAACAAAACCTGAACCCCAACAACTCCAACACTCCGAGGACTCCCAAACAAAACCCTGAACGGAAAGCACGTCTCAAGGGGCCCGTGGGAGGACCGGCGGGGCTGGCCTTGGCGCCACAGGCTTTTTGGGTTTTTGAATGTTCGTGCGGGTTCCGGTTCCAGTCTAGGTGTAAGGGTAAGGACTCAAGGACCCTGTTTACGTAGGATTTGTCACGCCTCCTCTTAAACGAGTTTTAAGGGGCCCTCGAAGCGTTACTGAGTTACCATAGGGGTGTACTATAGGGCCCTGAAAAGTTACAAGAGGGTTTTGGGGGTACGTACACAAGCAGTACATACTGTTGCTGAACATTCAAGCCCGCCTGTTCTGAGACGTCAACATTTGTTGCGATAGGCATTGCGTACTCACGGTAAACCAATCGGCTCCTGGCGTAAATGTCTGACTCACCCTATGCTAAGCATAATGTGGCACATGCTCTTGAGTCTTGACGACATTCCACTGTCAAAGGCTGAAAATACTTGCTGGGGTCCGGGAGTGTTCTTTCTTCTCCATACGTTCGTTTAACATTGAAGGCTTTTCAAGCGGCCAGGGGTCTCTGTTCTCGGTGAGGCCTGTTTCGAACTCTCTTAGCGAAATACTTAACATACTTATAAATACCTAGCTTCGCAGTCGTCCACCACAAACAGAGCGGGCAAAGCTCGATTTTTCCTTTTGATTCCACGCAACAACTCCCAGTCTCTTGGCGAACAGGTCTACAGGTCTTCCCGAGCGAGGCGCGCGCTTCCTGGACGCGACGTCATGCGAAACCTCCAGGATCTCTTACTTGTGGCATGTTCGTGAGCCCGTCGTAGGCCAACGGAAAGCCCACACCCTCGTCCCTTCATTTCCCCCCGAACCCGACTCAGTTGTTTGCACACACACTGTAAGCCTAAGCTCAGCTTACGCCCAAGCCAGATCCACTTGTCAATATCGGGCAACAAGCGGCCGCATTCTTGGTATTTAGAAGGATCCTTAACCTACGGCCCCCCATACCCAAACAAGAGCAAGAGAAAGGTAGGGGTCCAGGGCTCAGGTGCAGATTGATCATTCCCCCTGAGCTATTGGGGTATTCAAGCTAAATGTCTGGACTACTCATGTCTTGGGTCTGGAACCAAGCATGTCTCGACGATGGATGACCACATGCATGTAGGAATGTATGTGTGCCAAATTTGAAGCCTACGTCCCATCATTATTGCCCTTACAAGATGTGTTATCGATGTACACATTTTGCAAATGTATGCATGGACGGATGGATGCTCTACGTCTACACAAATTACAACATAGAACCCCCAAAACCCTCAGATCCGATATACCGTAAAATCCTGAAACCCTTGTACCTCCCCCGAAATTGCGAACCCGCTTTCTTATTGAAGCCTCTGTTGCGCAGCGTCGGGGGCCTGGTGAAACGACGGGGAAGTCTTGGACTCGTCCCCTTCTCGGCTTCCTACAAAATAGGTCTCCTCTCTCTGCGGGTTTGGGGTTCTCGGGGGGGGGGGGGTAGGGGTTTCAGGGACTTTCTTTCGACTCTCGCAACTCGGCAATGCAGGGGCTTTGGTATTGAGGGTCTTTAGACTTTAGGGGTTGAGCAGGGTTAAGGGGTAAAAGGGTTTCAACTATATCGAGAGTGTAGGGCTTAGGCCTCGTCTCATTGGGCTCACTGGGGAATTGACGGGGCTTTTTTGGGCTACGGGGCTCAGGGGACCTCTATCAGGCGGGACGTCGGGCGATAACATAGGGTTCTCCTCTACACACATGATGGTTTATTTCGGGACTAGAGGGGGCCGTCGTCGGATCTGGAGTAAGGGTGCCTGCGGGGCTTTATCCTTGAGCTTCGAGGAAATCATCGACTACGGTTTGCCATACTTTGCGTTTACAGGTCGGGGGCTTCAACAGTTGGTTTTGGCCGCAGAGTCGAAGGAAGATAATTGGGGCCCAAAAACATCAACCCCTACCTCCTTTGTGTGCACGACTGGTGAATGCAGAGAGGAGATGGCTTGCGAGCCAGTGACATTCTCTTTGACTGCAACAAACTCACGGGCCTTTGAGGTAAGCAAAGTGTCGCTTCCTAAACGTAAAGAATGAGAGTCTGCTCAGGTGTGGCAGTTTACACTCTCACAACTCGGACTAGCCAGGCGAGGTCTATCAGGTGCAAGCGTGGATGGTTTAGAGTGTAGAATGCCCAAAGGCATGACAGTTAGGCTTTGGGACTAACCCGACAAGCGAACGTTGACACGTCTTAGGCTTCCGCGTCGGCGGCTTGCCTCAATTTCGCGACAGTCCTCGCTGAAACGTCGCCCCAGGCCTGAAAACTCATGCTCATAACTGAAAAGCTTGGACCCGGGGAGACAGAGCCTTGGCAAAAACACTTAAGATGCTTTATATACTTTCTCTTTCGTGTTCATAGTATCCCGCTATTGTCCCTAGTTTTATAACTTTTGAACCATGGACCTCGAATGTCTTATTCTAACCATTAAATGCCCAAGATTTGGGCTTGGGAGCAGCTGGTGTGGTGAGGTCGCCAGTAGCTCGTTCTGCGGGAAACAGGGGCTGCAAGTCGACTCTAAGGCTACTCTCAAGGGCTTCGGACCAACCTTTAGCATTCAACCGGGAACAAGCCCGGGTTGAAACCTCCGAGGCCCGTCGCAGCCAGAAAGTCTCTCGAAAACGCAGCGTGGCGAAGCCATTGGCAACAGGGTGCCGGCTGGTCATGCACATGGGAAGTTATCAGATCCAAGACAGGTTTTGGAGATGATAACAAGATCAACTAAGCCCGAAACGGATCACAACATCAAGAACCCCACGAGTTACCTCAGTCATGACAGGACGAGTACGAGCTCATTGCGACTCAGCTCTTCGGGCTCTTCTATATAACCCCCTCTTTGGTTTTTCTGGCACATGAACTGGAGACTGTTTTTCTTTTCAAGGAGCCTTGAGACAGTTAGTTAAACATGGGGTGCGTGGGGAATGCTACACTCTCATCGTAATAGGACGTCCGAACGAAAAACTGTGAACTGCACGTGCTTCCATACTGCATCATGCCATCATTTCTGAAGAAAATACGGAAGATTATTCCGAAGAACTAAGGCCCCAATACGGAACCCGCATCGTAACCCCTGCAGAAACCCTGCTGTAATCATCAAAGCCCCCAAATAAGAAACCCTACTGCAAACAGACCCGCTGGGGAGTGTTACAGCTTTAGGCCTTTAGGCTCGGGTGCTTCGGCTTTTGCAGCGATTGTTGGTTCTGGCAACTTCCCATACAAGGAGGGCTTCTCCATTCAGAGACGAGAGGGTCACCCTAACCCTCCTGCACGGGACCTGTAGACCTCAGGGAAGGCAATGAATGGCTCGACTGTAGGACCTTGGCACTGAAGAGGTCGTTCCTCATCCTCAGCTCAAAAATCCGTTTCGGTGTGCCGAAACTGAAACAGTGTAGGGCTTGAGGATCCACCTCTGGGGGCCTAACTCACAGCACCACATTTTCTCTTTAAATCATAGAGAGAGGGAAAAATACGTGCATTTCCATCAAACGCCCAGAGATTGCAGCGGAGCCTCAAATTCCCCAACTTGTCCTCCAAGCTCTTGGAGTCGAACTTCGACTGAATCCGCTGCTTCAAGATCTCGTTCTTCACCTGGTCCATGTGTGGGGGTTTTAAGAGAGTTCAGGGTCTCGTTTTTGGATGTGGGGTCTCAGTTTTGGGGCTTCGGCTGTCGGATTTGGGAGTTTGGGGTTTAGGGTCGGGGGTATCGTCTAGGCTGTCATCAGCTTTGGATACGCGGTTGCTTCATATCTCGAGAGTCTGGTGCAAGCACCTCCTGTGGCCCCAGGCATGAGATCGTAGACCAAAGAATTCTGCTGAAGTCAAAGATGGTTCCGTCAAGGGCAGTGCTCCTGCTCGTCATCACGTGCCACGGTTGCATGCATGCTGCGCTCTGAACACTGAACCGTCTCTACCGAAACCCCAGGACCCATCTCAACTTGCAAGTTTCCGAGCTACTCTCAACACGTGCGCCTCATGCAGAGCTTGTGAGAGATACTGGCAAACATTGCCGATAATATGGGTTCTTATATTGTTGTACGTAACAAAGCAAGAAGGTAAGCAAATCCAGGTAACATCCCCTAAATCTTATGAAGCATTCCATTCAAAGCTGCGTAAAGCTTTAAATTTTGCACAGCAATCATTACCAGGTTTTTCGCCATGCGATCCCACAAAACACCCAGCAGGAGCTCCACAAAAATCCTGGGCTCCCGACGGGTAAGAACGGTGATCAGGTACATAAGAACTGTTAGTTCTTATATGAAATAGGGACATAGTAACATAGTAGCAAAAACCCCTACTTACAATAATAACAACAGCTCTGATGACATAAACACTCATGAAATTAAGTACTATGGTAGTCTATTTGGGCACTTTTTTTCTGGGCTCCCGGCCTGCTCTCTGGCCTTGTAAGCCTCGGCCTGGGCTGCTCTTCGAAGCTCCCACCTGGAAGCCCCCAGGAAGCAGCTGCACAATTAAAGGGGGCCACTTGTTTAGGGTTTAATTGGGGTTTTTGGATGGCTCTTGGAGTACGTTGCAGAGGATGCTTACAAGGCTTATGTTAGGCTGTTTATGAAGGAACGTGGGTGCGTTCTTGACAACTATGGGGCTATGTCAGCTTGTCCTTTGTTTGATGGGCTGTGTACGTCTGTTCCCAGGGTTCCAAAGGGCTCCTAGCAGAGATTTGTCTCTACAGAGGTCTTTGTAAGACCTGCAACAATGCTTCTGTTCTAACCTTTCCGCTATGTACGGTCTACTTCAAGGGTTGCAGCAATGACTTCAACTGCCATGAAACTCTTTTTCGAGAGTTTGTAATGTTTGAACTCAGGGATCTTTAGTACGGGTTTGAAGGCTGCAGGTTTGAAGGTCTCCACAGTGATGCTTTCGGGCTTCGGCTTAGGAGATCGCAGTATATGGGTGGTAAGGCTTCTAGGGCGGTCGAGGGGTCTTGGGGTGGCTCATGTTTTGATGTTCAGCGGTCTTCTTGACTACAAGGCGGCGGGCCTGTTCACAATATCTGCAGGTCTCAGACAGCATCAGGCGAAGTGAGAATCTATAGGACGACTTATCTTGTGTTAACGGTCTTTCCGCTCGGGTGCTTGGCCGAATCACTTTGGGATTCATCTTAGGGTAGCTAACGGGTTATATGTTGAGGGCTTTTTTTGACGGGGCTTTCATTTTTGGGGTGGGCGTTGAAGGTTCCAGGCCTAGACTGTTCGTTGCAACCTTCATAGCCCGGCCAGGGCCCCGTGTGTGCTCATGGGTCGTTGAGGTTTTGGGGGCCACGCAGGCCCCTCAGAAGCTCATGGAAGGGTCAGCTAAGCCGTTGGATCTAGCCCTAAAGGAGCCACCCAAGGTACAACTTACGCCTTCTGGCGGTGTTGAATTGTGAAGAGCCAGGTGTAGCTATCATGGGATTCAGGCAGGATCGGGCTTAAAGTCTTCGAGGTTTCTTGGGCTGGCATCGCTAGCACCATGCGAAGCATCGCCTTGCCTGCCAATGCTAGTTTTGATGTTGACTTTCCTGCTATTGAAGGCGAACACTCAAAGCCCTAAGCGCCTCCTAACCCGCGTTGCGATGCAGCGCAAGGCACATGCGCTGGCGCTCCGCATTGAGCTGATCGATCTTGTCGTCCTTGCATTTGGGGTTCAGGGTTTCTGTACATTCTCGGCGGGCACAGTGCAAATACACAGGCTGTGCGAAACAAATCTTGTGGAATTAAGCTGATGACAATTCTACAGGAAAAACTTAACACCCTAAGTATGACACCATGACATGCAAACTCTAAGACCCCAAACACAACAAGCTCCAAACCCTACAATACTTGGCAGGTCCTTCTTGCGGACCGCATCGGCGACAGACTCACGCTCGAAGTCCTCACGCCTTCTCTGGCGCTCGACGTTAATCTCCTGTTGCAGAAGGGTTCAGATTTCCGGCTTGTGGGGTTTATACATTTTTTGTACATTTTTAGATTTTGAGGCTTCAGGGTTTCGGCGGTTTCGGGACCTGAACCCATTTGGGGGAGCACACGGCTCCTTGTTCTTGGCGCGCAGGCCGTCCAACTCGCGCTTGAAGTCCAAGTATCGCTCCTCGGATAATGTGGGGGGCTTCCGGAAGTATGTACCGCAAGTAAAGCGGTGAAACGAGACTGATTGTCTTGCTGTGGGGTGTCGGCGCTCACACTGGGACACTCTAGGCGAGGCTTGCTTACTTTCTAGGTTAATGTTGTGTTTGGCTTGACTCGCAGAGAAGCAGTTTCACTCAAGCAGACCTCGAACCGCGTGCTGTGAAGTTTTGGGGTTTGGGTTTCAGGTAGATTAGGGTTTGGCATGAAACTTTGCTTGGTTCCTGGTTCATGGATGTAGGGCCCTGCTACAGAAAGGGTTTCAAAGTCCAAGGACGATCTATATTGCAGCTTCTTGGGCGAGCTTCTAATGGCTTTTGCGAAATCCCCCTCGCCCCTCAAAAAAAAAGCGAAAGTTCACTTGCTGGACATCTAGGCATTGCGCGTGACGACCCCTTTGTTGAAGGGGATATCCAAAACGACGCTGGAAATAGCCACGGGAATTCTGTTTTGGAAGCAAAACCCCCCAACCCCCCAGTATAGAAGCCTAGAGCACCCTTCAAGAACCCTGGCAAAACTCCAAAAAGGCACCAGAAAAGGTTTCTGAAACTCTGAAACCCTTGAGCCCTGAACAGAACCCTTAACACTTTCACAGAACCCCCTGAGGGAGGGTGCCTTCCTATGCTGAAGGAACCAAGGCTCCTTCTTGGCCTCGTGCTCCATGAGCCGATACTCAGTCTCCTGCCGGCAAGGTTTTTTTGAGACATTTTTTGGTGGGCTTCGGGCTTTGAGCTTTCGCCTCCCTTCCGTTGTGATTTTGAGGGTTTCGGATGCTAAAATAAATAAAGGTTTAGGGCTTCGTTTTGAATCTGGGTTGTCCGACACGTGCCACAGAATGAAATGCGTCTTTCGCTGGGCGGCAAAAAGCTGTTTTGAGCGAGTCGCAATCAAGCAGCGCACTCAGTTGGGACGAGTCACGTGCGCTAGGACCGGACTCTGCATATGCATGAACACTGCTTGTCTGCACACTGCCTTCCGTGTCCGACGCTGCTTCAACAAGCCGAGCCAACTGTGCATGACTTGGGCAGGGCTCTAGCGAAAGCAACAACTTCAGCTCACAGCTTGCTCTCTTGAGGCACGCGTTTCTTGCCTCAGTGGTGGTATCCTCTTCCACCATGATCACACAGGACTTCGTTGCCGGCGGCATTCTTCTTCAGTACTTTCACATGCCCCCTTTGCTCTTTCAAGATCATGGGATAGCGCTTGTCCGCCGATAGTTTCTCGAACCGCTGCAAGCTCTCCTTAGCTGCGCAGTGACTTGTGTTCTCTCCTGCTCCAAGCCCTCCAACTTCTTTTCTGTCTCCTTCAAAGCCATTTGCTGCTTCTCTTCATCGCTCGTAAGTTGTTCGAACTGGGCCCGCTTGTGCTCATCGATCTTGGTGTCAGTGTACTCCTCCTCCTCGTTCAAACATGTTTGATGGGAATGGCTGCTGGGCGCATGGTTGCACGTCTTGCACGGCATGGCAAGCCCCATCTCCAAATTGGACCAGTCACATAGCTCGAAGGCAAACGGTAACTTCTTGGCTGTCACATTCTCAAGGCTCATCCCTTGATCGTGCTGTGCATGCGTTCCAAAAGTTGCTCTCTTGCTCATCCTAGTTGTCTGGGTTTCTCCACGGACACCGACACCCTTGACGGAGATGTTCTTACTGGAGTAGAGCTCCTTGGAGTTACCCGTCTCTGGGTCTTGTGTGTTAAAAGTCGCCTCCTCCAGGTTGTTGAGCAACATCTGCCGCTCCGAAGCACTCGCAAGCCTTGACTTCATCCTTGGAGGAGCTTGTTGGTATCCTGCATTTCACGTGGCAATTGCAATTGCATTCTGCGCACGTCAGGTGATGTGCTCCAGGAGCGCCCTTGTAGACGATGCGTGTTTCCTTCTTCTTGATCTCGAAATCTCTCACTGCATCCAACGCTAACCTGCTGGATGATTCCCTCGGGAGGATAGCGCAGAGCTGTGACAACACGTACCGAAGCTGCTGGGTCACGCGGGTAAGTCGAACCTTGACTACCACCACGATGCAGGTGATGACATGCTCAGTCATGATGACTTCCTGGATGTTCTTTGCACGTGCCTGATCCGCTTTTAGTCCCTCAGTATCTCCCAATCCTGGGGTGTCGATCACGGTCAACTCAAAGCCAACGTCAGGAATCTTTACGAGTGTGACCTTTTGGTCTTGCTGTCTCCCTTTTTTGCATCTTTTATGTTAGTCTTTGCTTCCCTGTGGCAATGTCTGATCATCTCGACTGTAAGCTCGGCTTCTTTGCTGAGCTTGCCGACCTCTGCGATGTTGTACAGCAAGTTCAGGAAGGTCTTGCCCAAGCCTGTCCCACCCAAAACAACGCACTTGAAGGAAGAAAGTGCAATGCGACCGACAGTCCCTGCTTGCAAACACTGCTAGAGCCGACACGCACACTGCAAAGTGTCGACTCGCACATTCCTTGCAAAGCAACACCCGAACCCATCCTCTCAGAACAAGGCGGTATAAGTCTGTACGTCAACTTCGTTGCAACGAGCATCAATTCAGTGAACCCGCAAGGTCGACTAGAGCAACCTGCGCGAGGTTGAGGTGAGAGATCACGCAGAATGAGGGCACACAGAACTACAATGGAAATGCACGGTTTGACAGCAGCCCGTCCACATCATTCTGGAGTTGCACTTGTACGTTAAAGTTCTGCGTTTGAATCTTCTCTGCAGTGAAGTCCCAAGACATGAATCAGGGCTAAGGGCGTCTTGTGCATAACTATACTACGGTCATTTTGATTTTTGATTTACCTAAGTTGTAGGGAAGACTTGTGGCTCTCAAGTTGTGGTGTCGAGGTTTCTTATACCCTCCATTGCAGTTCCACGTTTGGCTATGCACTTAGGGGCGAAGGCAAGTCCAAGAAGGAAGCCAGTCAAACAAAAAACTGCTAGAAGTCTTCATAGCTAGACTAGGGTTTGGGGGTTTCTTAACGGTTTCTTGGCTACCCCTGTACTGATGAGGAGAATTCTAAGCACTACTATTGATCCCGAGGGCTCTCTTATAGGTGAGGTCAAAAAGCTCAAGAGCCCTAAACCCAAAACCCCTAAAACCCCTAAACACTGCTCGCAGCTCCTCCTGCTGGTCCAGGATGGCCATTCTGCGATCTTCGGCGCGGCGCATCGCCTCTTCCTTGATGACCTGGCAATAGCTGTCTCCTTGTACTCCGGCAGAGACCAAGCCCTTAAACCAGTGAGGATCGGTGAGGAGTTGAGTTGTGTAATTTCTTGGGGCTGGAGGCTTCGGGAAACCTTCACATGTCAAAGGCCGTAAGACTCCCGGTTTCACGCTTCTTTGACTTTGTTTCCTAAGAGCTGCTTCTGCGTTGCGCGGCCGACTGGTTTGTCATGTTTGCTGCCTTCCAAAAAGTCTAGACACATAGTACTGTAGTACAGGGTGATGAGACGAACACTAGCCTTACATTGCTTAGAGCTTCGCTCGTACGCGGAGAAAAGCCAAATAGGGACTGGCGGCTCTCAAGGACTCAGTCTATCTTAGCTCTCCCTTCCTCGCTTTGATTTGTCTGTCCCGGGCTTCTGAGAGGGTCCCATCACTCTCGCACCTGGCGTTTCATCATCGTCTGGAAGGACCTGCCAGGATGGTCAGCACTTATTGTATATTGTTGTATATAATTATATATTATTATATATTATTATATATTCTTATATATTATTATATATAATTATATATAATTATATATTATTATATATTTTTATATATTATTATATATAATTATATATTAGTATATATATATATACATATATTATATTATTATATATGAACATTATTATTATTATTAAGGATCAAGAGGTCTTTCAATCCACCCGGTTCCCAGGTTGCAAGACCTGGGAGGGTATGTCCGGAAGCCCCAGGTCAAGAGCACAGCATCCCCTCATGTGGAGCGCTGGATACATCCAGAGTCGTAACTTAAACCGGCAGGTCTACATGCAGATCTTGACGTACCTTCGTATGCATACAACCGTAAACATAAACAAGCTACACATACATATATCGGTACCTATATCAGTATAACAGCATAAGCTAACAATATTCCATCTATCTAAAACCACAAGTGAAGTAAGTCGTGCACTGCGCCGATTGCTTCGGGAGAAGATCCTGTAGTATCCAATAGCTCCCGTGTTCTGCGTAGAACCGAACCTGCCCTGGAAGCCTCTTCGCGCTCTCCTCCTGCTTGATGGCCAAAGCTTGCATCAGCCTCTCCTCACGCGCTGCGTCATCCGCCTGCTTCTTCCTTGGGCAAAAGGTGCTCTAGGGTCTAACCGTAATCGGTCCTAAACCCGCAGAACCAGCTCCACGATCGAGTTCCTCTCCGCTCCCTCAGGCAAGACTGGGCCGTGATTAGAGAACCCTCTACCGGTCTACCAGTAGTATCCTACACTGCACAAAGTAGAACGCCGACAAAAGACCCTGAGCTTGAAGATACCTCCTAAACTCTTTTTTGAGCCTGAACCCTTACGGCTCAAAGCCCCCAAAAAGCTCCCGCTGGCATCCCAAACCAGCGACCCTGGCATCCAAAGCCCAACTGTAAAGGAGCCCCGAACTTCGCCTGCCAACCAACCTCAAGCCCAAACCTTAAACCCAAGAGCCCTTCACCCTAAGACTCTGAACCCAACCCTAAACCCCAAAAACCCTTCCTAAGCCGGCGAAACAACAACCCACGAATCGCTGGAACCCTAAACACCCAATACCCCTTAAAGCCCTACACCTTACAGGACCCCAACAAACCGCTTGAGGCCCTAAGGCCCTAGCACGCCCAAAGACTCCTTCAGAAACGCCAACCAACAAGACCCCTCAAAACCAATAAACGGCTATGTGGTGCGCAGGGCTACCGCATCGTATCACTACACTTCGGTTACGTTGCTGAGGATTGTGCTTCTGAGGGCTCATTCCGACAGGGCGTTGGCATGGTGGCAAGTTGTGATATCAAGACGACAATGGCGACACATGTGATCATGGCATGTAGCACAAGGGCTTCATTAAGCCGGTGGTGCCACCTTACCTTGCATTTAAGCTGTTCCTGCTTCATATAACTATGCATTAGCGGGGAAGACGTACCACACTCGCCTACCACATTGCTGATTTCACTCAGCGGACCGTTGAAAATCTTCGGCTACTCCGGCGTGCAGGTTTCCATCCCATGCCCGTGGATGTATGATGCTGGCTGGCGCTCATACCAACGCACTCTTGGGATATACAGCCATGTATTTCTCGGGCTTCGGAACCATGTGCTGCCTGGGCTTTTGCCCCATGTGCTTCTTGGGCTTTAGACTCATGTGCTGCTTGGGCTTGAGTCTCATATGCTTCTTGGGCTGTAGACCCACGTGCTTGGGCTTTTGGTCCCATGTGCTTCTTGGGCTTTAGACCCATGTGTGAGGGCAGTGAGTGCTGTGAGCTCGGTTTCACTTTTCGGGTACTAGTTTCGTTCACGTACAGTCGACAAGTCTGCAGCTGTTTCACTGAAGGGTTACGTCTACACGAGGCGTTTTTCACCCGTCTGTCAAGCTGTAGTCTTCTGCTCGCTAGTTTCCAACTTAGCTCTCTTCGCTGCGTGATTGCATCGCTTTTGGGTGATTCACCGGCTGCAACCGGCTGTGTTGCTTGTGGTGCTTAGGCACGGACACGGCTGGGACCACGAGTCTCCGGGCTGAAAGCCTGCTAGGCCTACGTACTCTCGGCGACCTACGGGGAAAGGACGCTGAGCGTGAAAGGAGAGCAAAGCTAAATCCTAAAGCCGCTCTAAAGGAATTAAAACTCTAGAGCTCGCAACTACCCTCTATTCTGCGCCAGCCATCCACTATTAAAGTACCAGAAAGCAGCATTCAAGGGGGTTTTGGCGTTCTGGTCTTTGAGAAACCCCATTTGGACCTGTGTATGCTTGTATGTATGTATATATATATGTATATATATATAAATATATATATATATACATACACACATTGGTATATAAGCATACACATCTCTTAGATACCTTTCAGATCTTTTGCAAATGTAAATAAACAAATAAATAAATAAATATATATATATATGTGTGTGTGTGTGTGTATGTGTATATATATATGTGTGAGTAATATATACATACATATATATATATATAGATAGACATAGAAAAGTGTTGTATTAACTTCAAGGCTCTCGAAGTCGTCCCGGCGCTTCTGTTCCAGCTCCTGATTCGCCTGACATCCGCGGCGTCTGCTCTTTTAGGCCGTAGGGGCAATGGTCTTAGGGTTTAGGGCTTTGCCTTTCCTAAACGGCTTTTATAAGGCTTCGGGTTAGTGTTTTGGCAATGAGGGTTTACTGGGACTAAGACTTTAAGCGCTTAGGGCCTGTGTGTGTGGTTTTAGGGCTAAGCCTTGACGAGTGGAAGTGTAATGGCTTTAAGGTCCGTCGGTGCTCCTCTCCGCTTAAAAATTTTCGGGTCTGCGGGTTTGCCTCTCGCCTTGCTAGGATCCGGACGAACCTGCGATGCAGCTGTTGGGTTCTTGGGCATGCGCCGGGCAAGCGTCGCAAAAACCCAAGGCAAGCAGGAAATAGTGTAATATGGAGGGCTGAACTTCTGGTACTTAATGTTGAATAGTATTAGTAGCGTCTTGGGATACATTACACTGCTGTTGTGACCCCGTGCAGTCAAAGCTAGTTCAATTTCCCGGTCCAGAACACAGCCTCAACCTCTCTCTCTCTCTCCTCAATGACTTCCTACCTGCAACTCCAGCGAGTTTGTGCTTCAGCTCCACGATTTTATGTCAGGTCTACGGGGTTTCGGTACGGGGCGTTGGCGCTTGAAGATTCGATTCGGGATTCTCGCAAGGCTTTATACAGTCACCAACAATCCATACGTAAACGCACCAAAACCCTAATAAAAGATGAGCACTTCTTCCCAGACCCCTTCAGCTTCCCGGGGGTGCAGGCCTGAATGCTGTTGTAGATGCGCATGTCCCTCGCGTCCTTGCGCTCCCGTAGGAATTCCTGACACCAGGTTCAGGCTTTTGATACACAGTGCTTTTTGTGTACGTATGTGGACAAGGCGCTCTACCTATATATAAGGGCTTGGGCAGTTACTTGTAGGGTTGTGGAGTCGTTCCAGCATGGCCTGATTGAGGGGAGCCTGGCTACAACCAACAGTTCCAACGTCTTCCAAATTTCCAACTTTAACGAGGCTCTGGCCTATGGCGCAAACCGAGGATGCTTTCTGTAAGCACCT